TTGGCCAATAATGATTCTACGTTATTGTTAATAGAAAAATTCTGAGCGATTATAATATTCTTACACTTCTGTTGATTTTCAGATGAAGAAAATCCAAGTGTTTCGTGCCCAAGTAGCATTGATGTACCTAATGATGATGGGTCAGCTGTAGCTGTGGTCAGCTGGTCAGTCAATGTAACGGACAACACAGATTCTATATATGACCTAATGTTGTCGGGTTCTGGTACAGAGTACAACGAATCTGGACAAGCATTCCCTGTTGGCACGACAACATTATACTATGTTGTTAAAGACGCATTTGGAAACACAGACAACTGTTCCTTCACAATAACTGTCCGAGGTAAAGGGGTTATACAATTTTGTTTATACATTACGACAAAGTCAACATCTGCAGTTCGGTATGTTTGAAAACGATTAGAATCTATAAACATTATAAACAAATTGGAGCACTATTAAGAGTTAAATGGCATTTTAAAATGTTACATCTTTTGTAGATACTGGAGAACCCATGTTACAATGTCCAAATGACATTGATTTAGCATTAACTGATCTGGGTCAGCCATATTCAACAGTATATTGGAATGTATCAGTCAGTGACAATTCAGGGAGTGTGACATGGAATTGTAGCAGAGTATCTGGTGACAGGTTTGACGTCATTTGGCCAATTGAACGACAGAATGTATCATGCGAAGCTGAGGATGTGCATGGCAATACTGCAGAATGTGTATTTTATATTACTGTAATCGGTAGGCCATTTTTTTTAATAATCTTAATTTATTGGAATATAATTTATAAGGTTTCGTTTTACATATAATTGATTAGAAATATTGTATAAAGCGATAATTGGTCAAACACTGAACATAATAGTAAATACAACTAAATATGTCTAGGCCTATAAGAAAATATTAGTTTCCTTATATAGTCATTTAGTTTTATTTACTATTGTTAATGTTTGACTAATTATCATTTTACAATATTAATAGAATATTCTAATCGATTGTAATATATCTTAATCTTGTTTTTATATTGTTCTTTAGATAAAGAAACTCCGATTATTTCATGTCCAAGTAACATTGATGTATCCATTGATGATGGGTCGGCTGTAGCACTAGTGAGTTGGTTAGTGAACGTCACAGACAACTCAGGTTCTATATATGAAGTAATAGTTTCAGGTTCAGGTACCAAGTACAACAAATCTGGACACGCGTTCCCTGTTGGCATCACAACATTAGACTATGTTGCTACAGATGCATTTGGTAACACAGACAACTGTTCCTTCACAGTAACTGTCAGAGGTAAGGGGTTATCAAGATAATATTTTACTTGAGTACTTTACAACAAATCAACCTCTATACGTTGATAATGTTTGAAAGTGGTTTTAAATTTTTAAACTTATGAAACACGGTAGACTTTCAGCAGTTTAATGACATTCTAATATGTTATATTTTATGCAGATATCAGAGAACCCATGTTACAATGTCCCAATGACATTAATTTAGCATTAACTGATCCGGGTCAGCCATATTCGACTGTATATTGGAATGTATCAGTAAGTGACAATTCAGGGAGTGTGACATGGAATTGTAGCAGAGTATCTGGTGACAGGTTTGACGTCATTTGGCCAACTGAACGACAGAATGTATCCTGCGTAGCTGAGGATGTGCATGGCAATATTGCAGAATGTGTATTTTATATTACTGTAATTGGTAGGCAGAATTAATTCATAACAAGAATGTATTGGAACAATCATAATAGCTGTTATTGTATAGGTCTACCTTTTTATTTTCTTATATAGTCATATCTAGTTGTATTTTAATGTTTGCCTAATAATTATTATACAATAATATAGTAGAATAATTCTTAGCAATTATAATATGTTTTACTCTTTTGTTGGTTTTCAGATGAAGAAAATCCAAGTGTTTCATGTCCAAGAAGCGTTGG